CTGAGGAGCGGTGGACTACATGAAGTATTGTGCACTCCACTCGAAAACTCCCTATAGACACGACATTTCTAAAACGGAAACATTTCATTCTTTTAATGTTGACCTTAAGAAGTCAACACTCGTTACGGACCTATTGTTTCTGGGGATAATGATTACATACAGATAAATGTAAAAGTCCAAGAGAAATATGTAACGAGAACGGTTGTATACTACTTTTGATTTACAAATAACCTGAAGGAGGGCTTAATGAAAAGCCTGGAATACTAACCGTCTATAAAACAACCTTACGTATACTCCACGCCGGTCAGTATTGCAGCCACGTCCCAGTAGTATTGTCAAGTTAGAGGCGATTTCAAAGATTTACTTTAATATTTAATAGGTTTTAACGTAGGATGCGTACTAGACCAGCCACATGATGCTGTTCCCTCTTTTCTGAACGATGATATTGTGAAGAGAGTGGACGTTTTAAACATTTTCACTTTTATCTGGAGCAATCGTAAGATGCAGTAGATTAAGTAACGGGTAGTGCCTTGTCAACCTTGTGTCAGGGGCGAGGTTTACAGTATACTGCAAGGGACTGATTTACATGTACTGCCTCAGGCGCGCAGTGAAAAACCGGACTGACTTAACTGCCATATTCGAATAGTTGGGGCCCCAGGTCACTTTTGGAAGAGTGGCATGCAACAACGTAAGAAAGCAAGAATTGTCAGTATCAAGTCGCCATTTAAAGAGTAAAATAAAAACCAGGTAAAATCGCCTCTCAAAAATTCAGTAAAGATGCTAGAAAGTCATCACAATGAAATGGGGGTGTCTGACGTCGAAAATAACGCCTTTGAAATTTGTTAGAAACAAAGCTTCCAGATGAGGAGGAGCGTCTATAAAGACTTTTGGGTGTGAAAATAAAGAATTGTTGTTCTTTCTATAGTTGTTATTGTCGAAAATAGTAAGCACCCAGTCCTACTGCACATTAAAGACTTGCCATTTATTTAAAAACAGCCAAAGGAAGGTGGTACGGTCAATTGAGAATAAATTTTAACTTTCAACCATTTTTCCTGAAGACAAAGTACTGTGATTCCGTCATGATATTTTGGCGGTAAGTGAAAATCCACGTCCAAGAATTATTAAGATTCACCAACAAGGCGATGGAGAAAAACGTGTAATAAACAAAAATTTTTGGGCTGGCGCAGCGGTGCTTTTTGGAATTTAAAGTAGTCAGCTGACCCTGACAGATCAAAAACGCGATATTGTGGCCGCACATCGCAGCTGTTCACACCATGAATAATTTTGGGTTATTTCACTGCAGCTGATATTAGTCATCAATATAGTCTCCCTTCGAACACTAAATTGTGGTTGAATAAACAAAATAGGGATAAATCTGCATAGACTGAGTAAATCAGACCAAGTTCTATACAGAGGTAAATCGGGAGGGAAAAACGGCGGCTCTCTTTCAAAAGCCTCTTTTTACTCTAAAGTGTGTGACTAAGCAAGACCTTGTGGTATTTCTTCCTCGACCAAGGACCTTGAAGTTGCTAACTCTCCGAAGTAAACACCTGGGCCTAAAAACCCCTTCAATGTTTAAACGCTTAGTTTTTTATTTCTCTAAACAGTAATGACCCCGAAACTGCCGGGGTGATTCTAGTTGCCGATGGACAGATGAAAGACAACAATCCCCCACCACAGGCCAAGCAGGCACTTATTCGATCAGTCGTAGGCGTTATAATGGCCAGGACAGTCAACGAGGAAGCGGCGGTCAGTAGAAGCACGACTGACCTTACATGAAAGCCACAAAATAAGACCACTTCCGGAGGCATTGGTGTCTTTACCTCTGTGGTTAGACAATTCGTGGGTGATAACGTTAGCTTTGCCCGGTTATATGAATACCTAACAACGGCGTTTCCTCTATGCTTGTTTATTAGAAGTGGAAAACGACAACAAAAGATAGAGACGATCAAGTGAAAACTCTCTCCTTGAACACGCTATCTAGAAAGAAGGGTAATGAAGCCTGGTTACTCCTAAAATGTCAAGCTATGAAGAACCCAGAGCGTTAATAAGGCAAAACAACAATTACATTCCGCCGAAAACACGGTTTTTGTTTTTGTCTCACTAGGAATTATTGGAGGCTTCGAAAAGCCAGCTTTCCTTTCAAAAGTTTAAGAAGTCAATGTTAGGGGGCGCTCACCGATCGTTCATACGGAACTCACTCGTTCCGTTGTGCCTTAAGGGCTCTCTCTCGAGCCCAACCAGCAGCCGCGCAGCGGCGCATGTTATATAGGCAGAATGGTATTACCGAAAAAGACAAGGGAGACTGGAATGGCCATTTCTGACTTATTAGCCGTCGTCAGCCAGCCATACCCAAGCCCGAAGTGTGGAACACCCGAGCCTCGAACTCGCGACCTGTTGGTTTAGAAGTCAACGCCTCTACTCACCGTATGAACGATCGGTGAGCGCCCCCTAACATTGCATATTCCCGATCGAAAACCGACCGGGCAACGGGCTCGTGGCCCGGTGAGTAGAGGCGTTGACCTCTAAACCAACAGGTCGCGAATTCGAGGCTCCGGTGTTCCACACTTCGGGCTTGGGTATGGCTGGCTGACGACGGCTAATAAGCCAGAAATGGCCATTCCAGTCTCCCTTGTCTTTGTCGGTAATATCATTCTGTTTAAGAAGTCATCCG